TCGACAAACGTGTGTTCACGTACAAGACGGTTCATTATGAACCCTTGCAAATGTTTTATTTTTATCCTTTGGATGATTTATTGAATTCATTTTTGAGTTTTCCTAATTGAATGCAAGCACGACACTTTTGAAGGATCTAAAGGTTGTTTGGTTGGGTACAAACCAATTCTATAAGGCGCATGGGCATATCGAATGGGCACACGAGGGGGTCGTGCCAAATCCAATGGGCACACCAAACGTGGGTGCCAAATCCATTGGGCACTCATTCATTCGAATGGGCACGTCACTAAATCCAATAGTGACCTGTCCGAATCCATCGAGAAAATGTCCAAGTCAATTGAAAAATGGTGTAGTAACTATTCTAGCTTGTTAAGGGCCTGTTCCAAGTAGATATTTTTAGCAAAATGAAAAATTGGTTCCAAGTGCAGTTTCCTACATTTTTATCTCTATTTGTGCGATTTTTTACGCAACTCACTATACCAAAAGTAAAAAAAGATGTCCTTGACGTCTTTTTCTAAATCGTCAGGTAAATCGATTTTGATTGGCCGATGCTATTTCTGAAAACTACTTGGAACTTCCCCTAAAAGAAGTGCGAAAGAGGAAACGAGAACATAATTTGTAATTCATTCAAATAATAGTTGTCCGTGGTGGGGATTGAACTCGGGACGCATTGCAATGAATGGTACCCTTAGTTAGCGGACCAATGTAAGTAGAGGGGGTATCCCTCTACTTCTTAGATAAGGTTTGTAATCAATATTTCTTTTTGTAGAACTGACCAATCAGATTATTGTCGGTTGGATTTGTCGCGTTTGCCATTTTATCTACACATAGAAAATGATGGGACCTGCATAAAGTTATAAAGCTCGTCACGATCTTCGAAATGCATGTTTTCGCAGCCTCATCTGATGAATGAGTGACGAGTTATGGCACTCAGAAAGCAAGCCATGCTGGCCGGGAATTACATGAATACAACTTTCACCACGCCACCATGACCAGAATTCCAGAGTACCGACCCAAGGTGCTAGACAGCGAGTCGTTAAGGAGTTCGGTACTATACGTGGCCAAGTGATACTTTATACTGCCACCAGCCACAAAGCTACCGTGACCCCGCCCAGTGTGATCACTCCCCTGTACCGTTATGGAAACCTATTATTAAGAGCATCTCCAGCGAGGGTCTCAATATCGATGTCCCTGTCCCCAAAACCTGTTACAATAGTGGTACGATCGAAGTTACGGATAATTTGGAGATATATCCGGGTGTTTTTGTCCCGATTTCGCTCGGGCGTCCGAATAGACCTCTTGTTCATTGACAACATTTCTAGTTGGAAAGTGTTCATTGCCGATTTATGCAATAAATTATGGAAACGGATCCGAGAGATCATTTAATACTGTACTTTGTATGTTACTTGATAACACACAAAATTGATCAGTGGATTGATCATTCGGTCGATCGTGTGCACCATATGATTTTTTAGTTGGGTGGGTTGGTAAAATAACCAAATAACGGCTTGGCACGTGGCTCAACGGTTAGAGCGACGACATCAAACGATAGAGGAAGGGGTCCGAGGTTCAATCCCGGGCAGTGCTTAGTCTTTTCCCAAGTGCAGATTTTTTAGCATGAATTTATCTAAAAATGCAAAGCTATGCAGTTCGTACGTACTACGTGGAATCACGTATATGGTGGTAATCTCACCTAGAAGAGCAATCATCGCTTGTTGATTGGGGACGGCATGCCTTCGTATCTTCTCGCGCGTCGAGTTCGATACTGTGCTTGATCGCGAGTCCGGCGCCGCGACATTTCTGCAGACATACTACTGTAGCTAGCTAGTACACCCTGGTAGTAGATGCCTTCATCCCCGCGAAGTGGTATCCACGCCACGCGACCGGTCGTCAGTGCACAGCACAGTCTTGAGATGCTGTCGAATTTTGACTCGTTCCACTTGTAGGTCGTCGACATGATCTTCCACAAAGAGCACATGCGATCAAAGTAGTTCTCGACCAGAACACGGTCCGAGGACACCCTCGATTTGCGCTCCGATAAGCGAGGGGTCAGAAGGCCACCTTGAGGCCTGCGCTTTGGTTGGATCCAGCGGAACTCATGCTGGATACCTTGATATCCATGTCGACAAGTACACCCCTCGTGTTTGGTCAGCGATCTACACCCTCGTCGTTGTGCGGCATGTCGAGCTAGCTGTCTGACGCTTTGAGCATAACATCATGGACATCCTTACGCCGCATGAACACCGTGCTATCCGCGACTGAACCAGGGCAATCATCAAACAAGTCGACTGAAACACCGGAATATGCGATAGAGCATTCGAGCTTGAGTCCAAAGAGCTTATGATTACCAGATAAATAGTGTTTCGCTTCATCAAAGCCGCCTGTCGCGTGGTATGAGGGCAGGAAGTTGACGCCTATAGCGTACAGAGCTACCGGGTAATGGCCAAAGACTGTGCCCTTGGCAACTTGTTGGGTTATGGACAGAAGATTCACGTAGGGATCCTACAACACCGACTCGACCACACCAATGACACCGTGGATCATCTTCTCAAACGTTGGAGCCTTCATCTCAATGTCCAAGGCGTCCTTGGGGGATGTCGTTGATTTGTGGCCACAACCAAGCGTCCACGTCGTCTCCATGGATGATTCCACAACCGCCCAAATTGACTCGAACTCAGAAAGCGTGAGGTTCATCATAGTTGTGAGAGATACGTTGCCCCCTTGCAAATAGAAGCGATCAATGAGGGGTTTTGGCGAGTCGTTAGTGTCCTCGACTTGCTGTGTATGCTTGCGATAGACTTGACTCATCTCTTCGAGATTGATGTTTTCATCCTCGATGTCCTGTTGGAGTCGGTTGACAACAGCGAAGGGGTCCATGGTGTTGATGGGAATAAATGGATTGTGATTAAGACCGATGTGCATTGGTGTCGTGTTATGCAGACTCGTAGCAAGGCATGCAGTTTTGTAGAAGTGTGGCATATACAGTGTAACTTCCAAATTACAGAGTCATATTGCGACACAGTCACAGAACATTTGTCCAATCTCTACCTTATTTTCTCGATAAATTCGTCTTTACTCAGTCCTGGATGATCTATTGTTAAATCATACTTAACGTTATGTATATTTACTTAGTATGTATTGTGCTTTGCACCTTTTTTGGCAATTCCAGGGTTAAATGCATTGTTTTTTCCAAGGCTTAAATAATGTATAAAGTAACTTGAATAACGGTTTTATAACGTTGTTTAAAGTTACTTCATCTAATGCGATGATTGGTTGGTTGTAGGTGGTTTTACTGGCACTTTCGTAAAACAAGTTGTT